ATTCAATCTATAAATGACTTTTGATAGGATGGTCATTTTCACAATATTAATTCTTCCAATCCATGAGCATGGGAGGTCCTTCCATCTTCTGATGTCTTCCTAAATCTCTTTCTGTAAAGATTTAAAAGTTTCATTGTAGAGCTCTTTAATTTCTTTTGTCAGGTTTATTCCAAGATATTTTTTTATTTTGCAGCTATTATGAAAGGGAGTGTTTCCATGTGCTCTTTCTCTGAATTCTTGTTATTGGCATATAGAAAGGCTACAGACTTTTGTAGGTTAATTTTGTAACCTGAAACTTTACTGAACGTGTTAATAATCTCTAGGAGTTTTCTGGTGGAATTTTTGGCATGTCTTAGATATAATATTGTATCATCTGCAAAAAGGGGTAATTTAATTTCTTCTCTTCCAATTATTACTCCTTTAATGTCCTGCTCTTGTCTTATTGCTCTTGCAGGAATTTCAAGCACTATGATAAAGAGAAGTGGGGATAGTGGACAGCCTTGTCTGCTTCCTCATTTCAATGGGAATGCTTCCAGTTTTTCTCCATTTAGAATGATGTTGGATGTAGGTTTGTTGTATATGGCTTTAATTATGTTGAGGTATGTTCCCTCCAGTCCAATTCCATCTAGGAGTTTGAACATAAATACATGTTGAATTTTGTCAAAGGCCTTCTCTGCGTCTATTGAGATGATCATGTGGTTCTTGTCTTTGAGCCCATTTATATGATTACGATGTTTATTGACATGTATACTGAACCATCCCTGCATCTCTGGGATAAAGCCAACTTGATCATTGTGGATGATCTTTTTGATGCGTGTCTGTATGCAGTTTACAAGTATCTTGTTAAGAATTTTTGCATTTAGTTTCATTAAGGACATGGGTCTACACGTTTCTTTTTTGGTTGTGTCTTTTCCTGGCTTTGGTATTAGAGTGATATACTGGCTTCATAGAAGGAATTTAGAAGTTCTCCCTCCATTTCTATTGTTTTGAATTAATTAAATAGTATTGGATGTAGATCTTCTTTAAATGTCTGATGGAATTCTGCTATAAATCCATCTGGTCCTACGCTTTTTTTGGTTGGGAGATTTTGTAGTACTGTTTCAATTTCTTTTATTATTATGGGTCTGTTTAAGATGTTGATCTTTTCTTGGTTTATTTTGGTGGTTCGCATGCCTTTAGATATCCATCCATTTCTTTTAGGTTTTCAAATTTAGTAGCATATAGGGTTTTTAAAGTATTCCCTTATAATGTTCTGTATCTTTCTGGTGTCTGTTGTGATGTTTCCCCTTTCATCTCTGATTTGTTGATTTGAAGGTGCTCTTTGTTTTGGTTAACTGGGCTAGCGGTCTGTCAATCTTGTTTGTCTTTTCAAGAACCAGCTCTTGGATTTGTTGAACCTTTGTATTGTTTTCTTTGTTTCATTAATTTCTGCCCTGATTTTTTTATTTCTTCTTGTCTCCTGGGTTTGGGTTTCATTTACTGTTGTTTTTCAAGTGTCCTAAGCTGCAACATTAAGTCATTTATTTGTGTTCTTTCCAATGTAGGCACTTAAAGCTATAAACTTCCCTCTAAGCCCCACTTTAAGTGTGTCCCAGAGATTTTGTTTTGTTGTATTGTCCATTTAATTCCAGGAATACTTTTATTTCTTTCTTAATTTCTCTTTTGACCCATTCATTATTCAGAAGTGTGTTTTTTAATCTCCATGTGTTCATGTGGTGATTAGGGATTATTCCAGTGTTGATTGTAAGCTTTATTGCATTGTGGTCTGATAGAATGCATGGAATTATTTAAGTTATTTTGTATTTGTTGAGGTTTGTTTTGGTCAATTTTAGAGAAGGTTCCATGGGGTGCTGGGTAGAAAGTATGTCCTTTGGAGCTTTGGTGGAAAATTTGGTAGATGTCTTTTAAGTCCATTTGATATATGGTATTGCTTAATTCACATATCTCTCTGTTAACTCTCTGCCCTGTTGACCTAACTAATGGAGACATTGGGGTACTGACGTCCCTTACTATTAATGAGTTGGGATTAATCTGGGTCTTAAAGCCCTATAGTATTGTTTTTATGAATTAGGTGCAGCAGAGTTTGGTGACTATATTTTCATGATTGTAATATCTTCTTGATTTATTGTTCCTTTGATCAGAATAAAGTGGCCCTCTTTATCTCTTCTGATTAGTTTTAGTTTATAGTCTATTTTATCAGCTATTAGAATTGCTATGCCTGCTTTTTTCTAAGTAACATTTGCTTGGTATATTTTTTTCTAACCTTTCACTTTAAGATTGTGTCTGTCCTTGAAAATGCAATGAGTATCTTGCAAACAACAAAAAGATGGGTTTTATTTCTTAATCCATTCACCTAGTCTGTGTCTTTTGACTGTGGAGTTCAGTCCATTAATATTTAAAGTTATTAATGAAAGATGTGTATTGAATCGTGTCATTTTCATTTCTATTTACATTCTTGATATAGCTGTACTTTTCCACAGTTTTACCTTCATTGAATTCCTTTCTGCAACCCCTTGAGTGTAGTCGTTCCTTTCTTCAGCTCTTTGTATTGCTCCCAGAACTCTCTGAACGGCTGATTTTGTGGACAAGAATTCCTTCAGCCTATTTATGTCATGGAAGATTTTTCTTTCCCCTTCAACTATAATAGACATTTTGGCTGGATATAGTAATCTGGGTTGGCATCTGTGGTCATTTAACACTGGGAATACTTTG